GTGCTACTTCTGACTTCGGAACTCCCTATCAAAAGGCTCACCTTTGCTTGTCTTCATCTCTAGGACTTTCCTACTTATCCCCCGCCCCACCCCCCAACACTGGGAATCAAACTTTGCTCAGGCAGGGCAAGCACTCTACCACTGAGCTACACGCCAGCCCATACCTGTGTTCTTAACGTCACCCTTCTTCTCCTTTTCTGTTTTTGGCACTGGGAATCAAACTCAGGACCTCGCACTTGCTGGGCAGGTGCTGTGCCACTGGGCTATATCCCTGGCCCCCTTCTTCTCCTTTTGCTTCATCAAAAACCTTCCTTTTTCTCCTACAGCATATTCAGATTCTTAAGGCTTCGAGAAGCAAGGCTCAGCTCAGTCGGTGGTAGAGTGCTTGCCTAGCACGCACAAGGCCCTGGGTTCAGTCCTAGTACCTTAAAAAAGACCCTGCCTCCAAATTCTCTACATTCATTGATTTCCTCCCAGTAAGTCTGCAAATATAATTAGTTTTTCCTTAATGTCTTTCTTTGGAGCCAGGTATAGTGGTGCACACACGTAATCCCAGCATTCTGGGAGGCTGAGGCAGGAAGATGGTAAGTTGGAGCTCTCCCTGGGTAACTTAGCAGTTTAGTGAGACTCTACCTCAAAATAAAAAGTAAAAATGGGCTGGAGATTTTGCTCATTGTGAAGGCCCTGGGTTCAATTCCTAGTGTCACAAAAGGAAAGAAAAAAAGTGTTCCATTGGCTCTGTTTTTCCTTAGAGTGGCCATCCCATCTCTTAAAACAATTTATTATTACAGGATGTTGTACAGCTAAAAAATCAAAAGCATAGCATGAGATTCTATGTAAGTAAATACCAGAATGTTTATAATTTAAATTCATTTTGCTAGTAAGACAGGGGCATATCAAAATATAATTAATAGAAGTAGTTCAGGAATAAAGTGACTTTGATACCTTTATAGCTTTCTTAAGTGTTACGGCTTTCCAAACAGTCTAAAATTAGACTGGTAAGAGGTTGAAAAATATTTTACATTGGAAAAAGGTGTAATTTAGACTAGTACGTGAACATTTATTATTCTATGATATATTTTATAATTCTGTGATAATGTAAAAGATATATGTGCCACTTCAAAAAAGGGCAAATGAAAGTACATATAATTCTCATGCCAGTTATTCCTGTATCTAACAGTATTTAATAGGACTTTTCTTTCCTTATTATGGAAAGGAAATATTTCTGTATGTAATGTTAATGAGATAAAAATGCATCCAGTTAATGATGTCTCTGGAAATAATAGAGACAGTTCTGTCTTTGCAAATAAAGAATTGATGCTGAGATATCAGACAACACACGTGTTTTGATAGATCATTTCTTTCCTTCTCCCTCTCCCCCAACCAGAAAATTTAATAACTGCCCCACAATACCACAATACCGCGTGTGACCATCGTTGCAGACAGAATCCTTTGGGTATTTTTTGGTGTTGGTGGTCTGTTTGAGGAAAGGAAAACGCCATTTCTTAAGGTCTAACGGTCTATACAGATGTCTCTATCAATCTCTCTGTCTTTCTGTGTCTGACATGACAGCTGACTTACTGGGCATGTACAGATTTAGGTGACAGACAGGCTGGATATACATAGCAGGAGTGATGGTGTCACTGTAAACACTCCAGCATTACATCCCTTGGACCGAAGAGAGCAGAGGGCAGGCAGGGGGAGTTGTCTTATAATGCCGCTCCTGTGGCTCTCACACACGTTCTAGTTATCACGGCCTCCTTTGCCTACTTCCAGCTTGTTTGTTTTTATTTTTTTAGAGGGGGACTCTCTCTGTAGTCCAGGGTGGTTTTGAACTCCCCTTGTAGCCTACCCTGGGCTCAGCCTGCCAAGTGCTGGCATTACAGGTACACACCACTGTTTCCTGCCAGCCTTTTGCCTAGTTTTGTCCTCTTCTTCACTTGATTCTTTCAGCTATGATCTGAGAACCCAATAAAAAATGGGGGAAAAAAGTAAAGACTGGTAACAAGAAAACGCAATGTATAGATAACCTTGGTGCTTAAGGAAATATCCATCCTGATACATCTCTTAGGTTAGGAGTATGGAGCTATCTCTCTCAGTTTTATACTGCCCTGGGGACATGCCAGAACTTTAAAACTATGACATGGGAATAAAAGAGACGGGTGGAAACACCTGACTTTTGGGTGTCTGTGTGTTAGGCAGGTGTTTCATTGGTAGGATCTTCTGTAGTTTTCTCCTTCCCAAACTAACTTGTTTGAATTACGTCATTCCAATTCTCTCTCTTCCAAATTTTCTTTGTGCTATAGTTTATTTATGGCACATTTTAATTTTCCAGGCATCTGTCTCATAAGTGTGATTATATAAGTATAAACCAAATGAGATGCAGTTTTTTCCTAGAAAAAATACTGAATCCTTAGGGAGTCGAGCTGTGGATTGTATTATAACCAGCAGAAAGAAGAACATCATTTCCTAGAGAGAGCATTGGAATGGGAATCCAGAGACCTAACATTTCTGTTTGCATCAAAAGGAATTTGTAAGCCCATGACACTGGCTAAGCTGTTTATCCTATGTGAGCTGCATTCTTGCATCTCTGAAAAGATGGCATGCAAGTTCTCTTTGAGAACTGAGAGGACATTAGAAGGCAGCCTTTTTCTGGTTTTGATTTAGAGGCAATTGGCATGCCTCTCCTACCTTTGAAGAAGAGTCTTAGAATCCTCGAGCAGGAAGGAATCTGAAAAACTGTTACAGTTTTTCAGCCTCTGGGATTGAACGAAAGCGCTTCGATTTTTCCTTATTATTTCTAGCATGAATAAAGGCATTGGCATTTTTGTGTAAGTACAGTGTTGAGGACAGTGAGGAAGTTGATTAAAGAGCCTGTTTTCTCTCTTACTAATTGAAACACGGCTATGGACTTAAACATTGATAAGTGCTAGACTCCCTGGTGACCTCAGGGAGGTGCAGAGCTGGCGGTGAGCTCGGAGGGATGTGGCGTGCAGAGTGTGCCCTCTGTTTGTGGGTGGCACTCCTGGGTTTTCTTGTTTTATTTTTATCAGTACATTCGCAGTATACGTGCTACTGGTTACATTCCTCTTGGGGAGTTCACATTCCGATTCTTTTTTCATCCCCTTCCCCCTTGTCCTTCCTCTGTTCCCCCATCTCTTGGTCACCTTTTCTTCTGCAAAAGCTCTAAGTCCCTGTTTCCTGTTATTTGTGTTTTATTTTGCTCCATATTTATATTTTGACTTCCTGAGTTTTAAAGTTCTGGATGGACCCAATAAGACATGCCTCCCAGTGGCAAAGAGCCACGATTGTGGTTGGCAGTGTCTGTGGAAACAAATGGTCTTTGTGTTATTGGGATATGTAGGTTGGAGATTTGACCAGTTTCAGTAATAAAATTCAATTATAGAAGATATACATGAGCTATTTCCCTCAAGTACAGGATTTGTTGACTCTTCTGACAGGCCTTCCTTTCTGCTTACTTTAATCCTCTTCCATTTTCCTTAAAAATATTTCTTTCCTCAAAATTACCATTTTTTGCAAGCTTCTATTATATCTTAAAAGAATTTCTAAAGTTCCTTTAATTTTGAATAGTCTTCTTCTACAAGTATTTGTTGTGACTACTCCTTATTTTCCAGTGTTTAATCCTACTTTCCACCAAGAATGTAACCTGTATGTCTACCTTAAATCGTACCCTAAGTTTCTGTGCTTTTTTCCAAACTCTCTTCAGTCTGTAGACTAAAAGAAATAATAATCTGGACTTGATCCAGTTCTCTTGTAGGTTGATCAGACTGGTGAGGTAACACCCCTGTCTTCTTGCTTTTGTCAGAGGGCAGCACACAGCTGGACCATAGTCAGTGTACAGTGTATGACCTCAGTATCTTCTCTCCCTGCTGGCTGTGTTGTAGTCCGGATTTTATCATATTTTAGCCACACAACTCATTTTCCATTGGTAAATGCACTGGCTTGCACTTATACCTAAGAAGTACTCTCTTGTTTTTGGAGGATAATTTCTGTCTCTGGTTTGTCAGGGTTACTTGGAATTCTGTTATTTTTCAGAAAAGCTAGACGCTTCCACCTAGTTTAGAGCCACAAAATTACTGCACATGCTTTCAGTTTCATTATGGTGGTCTTTAATTTTAAAAAATTAACAATTTTGGGTCCAGGAATTTGGATATTGTAACTCCCCTAGGTTGCATTAAACCATTCATTTCTATCACTATTAACTTCTGGTTATCCTGCTACAGGATGTTTTTAAGCTCCCCAACATTGGTATCATAGTTTCTTCTTTGAGTATGGAAATTATTCCTGAATAATTTAGAGTAATTATATAGGGGTTTATGGTTGCTTGTAGTGGAGAGAAGAAACACAGTTACACAATAAACACAATTAATTTATTTCCCCAAGCATCATTTTTTATATTTTGAGTAGCAAGGTGTCCTAGTTACTCTTCTCATTGCTGAGACAAAATACTTGACACCCAAGGATAAAAGAAGAAAGGTTTATTTGACTCACAGTTTGTAAAGGTTCCACTCGGCTGGCTCTGAGGCAGGGTGGCAGAGCAGAGGGACATCGCAGAGGAGAACAGTTCATTGCGTGACAAGACAGGAAGAAGGCAGCAAGTTGCAAGCTATGGTAGAGGCAGAAGCGACAGCAGCAGCAAGCCCTCATTTGTCCCTTATATTCCATCAGGTTACCCGTCCAGGGGGCAGTTAGCACTTACCCAGGGTGGTGTACCTACAACCCCCGCATCATTCTCCCTAGATCCAGCCACCTTGGAAAAGCCCACCTGTAACCACATGAGACTTTGAGGGGACATCTAGGCACAGCACAAGGTGAGAGAAAAGAGGAGAGCCTTTAGATTGAGTATAAATAGTTATATCTTAGGTATTGTTCTGTGTTGTACTTTGAAGATGGCTGTTCTTTGTTTTAAACTTAGTAATATTAATATCTTATTTAATATACAAACATAATCAGACACACTTTTGTTATTGTCATTACAGATGTTGGAAAGTGACCATGAGGAGTGAAGAAATTACACTTCTGATACTTGAAAGTTAGTGACTGCTTACCACCTTTCCATGAAAATTAAGTATGACTTAGAAGCGTTGAAGGTTTATGATGTCATCGGTTTCGACAGAAAGCAAACTCCAGCAGGCTGTGAGCCTGCAGGGAGTTGACCCAGAAACATGCATGATTGTATTTAAAAACCACTGGGCACAGGTAAAGTATGACAGCACTGTGGGTCCGCTGGTCTCAGTAGCCCCAGGGGTCTCTATCATATAGAACAACTGGGTTTCTGGAAACTTCGGCAGGGAGCTCTTGCCAATAGGCAGAAAAGCAATTTTTTTCTGCTTGCTTTCCTATAATAGGTATCTGGTGGGAAACTGGTTTCACAAATGCAATTAGGGAACCTGCATGTCCTTTGGATATTTTTAGAGGAGTAGTTGTTCTTTAAAGTGACTTTTACATCATTCTGCAATATACTTGACCGTAATTGCATTCTCTCCTTTTTTTCTGCTGATTTTCACCCAGTTCTTAAACTCTAGTAACACTAAAATACAATACATTAAACATTGACAAAGTACTGTATTGAGGGCTTTACATGTCTTATATCATTTAATCTCCACAACCTAAATGATAGTTAGTATTAATGTCCTCATCTTATGGGTAAGGGGATGGGAAATTAAAGGTGTTAAATAACTTGCTTGAGGTCATACAGCTAGTGAGTCAGCAAGCCAGCACTCAGCCCTCTGACTCTGGTTCCCGTGTGTCTGACCTCAGGGTTCTGCCGTTTTCCGGCGATGATCCCTGTGTAATTTAAGGAAAGAAGATGCTCAGCTGCCCCTGAATACCTGTCTTCTTCATTTCAAAGCTTATTGTAAGCTTTTTTGATTATTCATCTTGACTTCTCTGTCTCTCTTCTCTGATCTGCTGGTGTGGATAATTAAGGGTTGAATGCTCAGAAAATGTAGCAGCCTGCCCCTTTCCTCAGGGAGTGTGCAGGTAGTAAAATAAACAAAATTGCCATTTTTTACTACTTGTCCCACATTATGCTCCCCAGGTGAGCTGGTAAGTGACTATTTATGTGACAGGTTTTTTAATGACTACCCAGTTCCTTCCTGTGGCCGGAAACAATACATGGGTTAAAGCACTGAGCCTGTAAATCACAGCAATTACAGGGGACATGGTTTAGATCAAAAAAGGAACAAAATCAATTGTGCCTCTGGGTTGTTCACACTCCAGAACTTCTTGTCACTATCCGGTTTAAAGCTTCCAAGATTTTTTGTGCATTTCCCATTCTCTGACTTTTTACTGTTAGAATTTTAATGGATTTGCTATGGACATCTGCTTAGTAAGGTGAAGAAAGTAATTCAGGAGTTTTTTCCAGGTAATTAAAGTAATTACCTTTGGCTTTACACTTTTAGCATCTTGAAGCAGAGGCTTGAAAGTAGGGTAGTGAGCTAGAAGGGATGTGTCCAGTGTCTGCTGGGTATGGGAAGGCTTATTTCTACTTATTAAAATTATCTATTTTGTGGTCATAAAATACATACTATATTTGTGTATTAGTGCATATGTTTATGAATTTATTTTTTATGCTTAATTTTGTCAGGAGTATATAGTCAGCTTGAGAGCATTCCATTGTAATAATGAGCTATATTATTCTAATACATAATGTTTGCTCTGGGGCCCCATTTTGCTTATCTATTTATATATGACACTTTAATTATAGTCATTCCTTCTGAGGTGACTGTGATGTGATTTAATTGGTATTCTGTACCTCCCTTAAAGACATGACACCAGATGTGGTGGCACATATCTGTAATCCCAGCCCTCTGGACTTGGCAGAGGCAGGAAAGATCACTCTGAGTTTGTGGCTATCATAGTGAGTTCAAGGCCAGCTTGAATTACATAGTGAGACCCTGCCTTAAAAAAAAAAAAACAAAAAAAAAACAGACATTAAATCCATGTGGATCATCTGCTTTGGCAACAAATTGTATTGCAGGCAAGCTTTTGCCACAGCTGCTGGAGTACTTTAGAATGTCCTGATTTAGGCACAGGTCAGTATTCCTTCATGTTGATGGAAGGGTAAATAATGGTCCCAGAATCATATTATTCACTTCCTTATCTAGTATCTATAATTTCACCACTTTCAGATACTTTGGGTCATTTGAAGCATGAGGCAGATAACCTAGCACCCTGCTTTTTATGGAGAAAAATTTGAGTTGATGGTAAGAACAACTTTTTCAGAGGCAGGGGTGTGTAGTCATTGTGTGTTTTCTTTTGTGAAGTAGGGGCCTGCCTTAGTTACGTTTCTCATTGCTGAGACGAAATACCTAACACCAAAAGTTGAAGGAGGAAAGGTTTATTTCAGCTCCTTGTATGTAGCAGTTCCAGTCTATAGTCAGCTGGCTCCAAGGCAGGGTGGCGTGGCAGACGGGTATCACAGAAGAGAAACAGTTCATTTTATTCTTTATATTCTTTCCAGGTCTGCTCTTAGGGTGGTGGCATTCACAACCAGGGTGGGGCACCCTGGTATTGCACCAAGAGTCAATCCTAGCATCACATCCTTAATCCCAGGATCACACAGTCTAGATTCTGCCTCCTCTGAAAAACCCCACCTATGACTGTGTGAGGCTTTGTTGGGTCATCTAGACACAAGCCATAATAGGGCTGATTTTATTTTTGACTCAGCCATTTCTTTAACTTTGGGTAGTTCCCCCCACCCCTTCCCTTCTTCCCTCTTTCCTGCTTTCCTTTACTTTCTCTTTAGGCTTGAGTTTTCCTTTTCAATAAATTTGAATGCCCTGTCATGAGAGGCTGTTGAAGGTTTTTCTGTACCTTTACGAAAGAAAAAGCTGGTGGAGAAGCTCAACCAGTCTATGAGTATCAAAGTGGCTACTATTCATTAGAGATTTATTTGGCCTAATACAGGTGTATCATTATGAGCATTACAGGTAGAGCTTTAGGCCCTTAAAGACTGCATAAGCTAATGTGGATGGCAGTGCAAAAAATATTATTGCAAAGTTAAAAGTGATTGTAGGAATTCAAAGCAGAGGCTATGTTGGATGACAGTGGCTGGGGAAATGGAGAGAGTGACATTTATGGCAATTACAGGAAGAGAACATTTTGTAGAGAAGATTGCCTTTTTCTTTGCTTGGACATTATAAAAAGATGAGGAAGGCAAAAAGTTAGAGCAAGGCAGAGCAGTAGGGCCAGGAGTGCGGCTGGGAGGGAGATCTTCAGCCGAGAGGAATGAGTGCTGGGTATCCATCCTTTTGGAGCTCCATGAATTAGCTCTTTGCTGTGTGTGTGTTGTTGAGGCTGGGCTAGAAGCAGAGCAGGAAGAGTGGAGCAGGGAGCTAAAGTCTAACCTAAACTCCTGACTGCTGTGACTGCAGTGCCAGGCTCCCCTGAGGCAACCCAAGAGCACCGGTAAGGCTGGTAAGAAGTGTGGCACGGAAGAAATGGAATGGCGGTGTTTCATTTACTAAAGCATTCTGTTACCTGCCTGGTACAGTGCTGTTATGTGTGATGTTAGGAAAATTACGGTAACAGAGGCTGTGGTACCCAGGCTTGTTCTCCATTAGGAGACTTCAGTCTAAATTCAACATAGCTAATGTGTAGTTGACTGATTCTGTTCTGGTATTTATTAGTCGTTTTCACTCCAGAGCTTAAGTTAAGGAGTGTGCATGAGTGGAGGAGGATATCTGCTTGATCCTGTGAAATGCAGGCAGCTAGCTGTCCCACCCACCATTATCCAAGGCAGCCTGTGATCTGGGGACCTTGAGTTGCCCAGTGGTGCGCTGAGTTTCCAAACTGTTCCCAGAGTCCAGTGATCTCAGGGCAGCCCCAGAATACGGTAGTTGTAGAGCTGACATTTGGGAATAGCAGCATTCCCAGTAGTGACCCTGGACAGTGTAGATTTAGGAAGTGTAGCCTCTGGCTGGTACTCTCTCTCTCACCTGCTGAATGGTGGTTTTGTATCTTTAGTTGCCGGAGCAAGGAATTGAAAACCCAGATCCATCTGGAGTATTCCTCCAGCCAGACCATTCAGTAGCTTCTGGCAGGATGGCATGCAGGGCCCTTTTTGTTCTGCGACTCTCGTTTAGTCTTCAGAAATGCAAAGTAGCTTAGAGTTCCTAGCTGCTCTCACCCCAGGCAAATGTCCGTCATCATGTTGTGCCTGTGTGTCTTTGGCACTTGTTCTTCTTTCCGCCTTTCTCTAGTTAAGTGCCCCTCTACCTACAGTGCTCATTTGGGGAGTCGTTTACTCCAGGTAACTTTCCTTGCTCTCTTACATGTGCCTCTTCTGTATTCCAACAGCACCCTGCTTTTTCTTTCACTGTTCCACCTGTCACCTTCTGCTGCAATCACATATAGAGTTATCTTCTTCCCTACTTTATTGCAGACTTCTCAGGATCAGAGACCCCTTGTAGTTGACTTCCTAGTACCCAGCACAGAGTGTGCCAGTTGTCGATGTTCAGTGAACTGTTGAACTGGAAGGCATGAAAGAGAAAATAATACTGTAGAAAACCTAGGCAATTTAGGGAACAATTCTGAATGTACACTGACTTTAAAACACTGTATAAATTGCCTCCAGTAATATCTTTGGACTTGCCTGCGGTGATCAGGAGGAGTGTGTGTGTGCAGTTTTTGTCTTTGTGGTGCTGGTGATTGAACCCAGGACTTTTGCAGGGATCTACATCCCCAGCCCATTTGTTTATTTATAAACTTTGCAACAAAGTTATCCTAGAACTTGAATTTATGATCCATGTGCTGGGATTACAGGTGTGTGCCACTGCTCCTGAAGTGTGCGTAGTATTTATAGTCTTCAGCAAGAACAGTTTATAATAGAAGCTGTTTTTTTTTTTTTTTTTTTTTAAATCTCTTACCTTTTGTCTGTGTTTTTCTTGAATGGAAGATGGCAAAAATGGAAAGAACAATTGGCCCCCCCCCAGCTGATAAACTGTTCAACTAAACTGTCATGTGAATTCCCCGTCCATGCTAGCTGCTTTTCATGACACAGTTGTACTTTGTGATTTCACGGACCTTGCTTGATTCATTCTCTACTTCTTTCAAGCACTGTGTACCAAATGGTGTCTGTCCATAGAGCCAGAACAGAGCAAATGGGTTTAAAAAAATAGCAACTGAAAATGTGCATTTCTGTTTTTGCCTATAGTTAGTTAATAGTTCAGTCCTTCTTATCATCCTTGGCCTCC